TGTGTGTGTGTATGTGTGTGTGTGTGTGTGTGTGTGTGTGTGAGTGTGTGTATGTATCGTAGATGCTACACTATTCTAAAAAGGAGATAAATCTATGGTAGACCTATATGTATAAATGTATGCGTGTGTGTTTGTGCGTGTATGTGTGTGTGTTGTCTGTGTAAGTGTGAGTCTCGGAAGTTATATAAAATCTAGGTCCTTGGTGTGAGAACAGTTGTTAAATACTGAATACATTTTGTTGTAAGGTCCTTAGTGTATGCACATGAAGTGCATCTAAGGCTAGGCTCCATAGATATAGGCCTATAGGATAGGCTAGACGCCTCTATAGGCCTAGATAATTTTTGATCACTGTGTAATATCAGGGGAGATCACTGAAAAAAATCTTAACATCCACCAATGATCCGGTGCACTTTCTTTCATTAAATCATTTATTTCAAATGGTGTGGTAAAAGACAATGTGTTGTTTCTCGGACTGTTATTATAATTGCACTCTTATAAATTAGAAATCTAGTAACCAGGTATTCATTTCATTTGGGAGAGGTAAAAGTACAATGAGATCATTTCATATGATATTGTTTGTGAATACTGACATGTCCCAACTTATTTAGCAATCCTGGGGCAAACACCTGTTATCGCCCTTGTCATGCCGAAAACCAGAAAGTAAACTCAAATTTGATTGGACAAAACTATCAGATGAACCAATCGCCCATGTTGTTCTTTGTAAGATTCAGAAACTCAGAAACTAAGGACGCTTCCGCTTCAACATATTGTTCCTCGTAGTCTTGGCCTTCTAAGTTAGGCATAGTGCGCTGTACTCCATTGACCACACAATCTAGGTCTACTACATTTGTGAAGCACGTTGTCAACAAAGACTTGAGATGGCTAGTACAGTGTTGAATGTTGGAATTGGTTTATTTATCCTTGCTTTTTTGTGGGTCTTAGCGCTGTCAGTTTGCGTAGCGTTCGCAAGATCACCAACGAAAATAGCGTAAGTGAACACTCACTGAAACTGATAGTACAGTGTAGAGAATCTATCGTCTTCTATTCTATTGTTACTTATTGTACTACTAAAACTAGATCTAGATCTAGGCCCGTTCAAAGCTCTACAGTTCTCCGCCTATGAAAAGACGGTATTTAATCATCCTACGTTCCGCGAAGCATTTGAATGCATGCGTGTCAATTTTTTAACCGGCCTACAACGCATTCCGACCGCGAGGGGCTTCGCTTTCCACGGCGATTCTCCAGCTCCTAATAATCGGACACATAAACAACTTATACCATTGTAGAGAGGAAAAGCTGAACTTTTACAAGGTGTAAGGCATTTGGTGTTTTATAGCGAAAGAGCAAAGAAACGGCGATCGGAATTACCCCCAATTTCACCGCGATACCACGCAGTCAGAAAGCCGCGAATTCCCGCGAGGCCGTGATTACGCTACCTGATGATAGTGATGATGAACCATCATACAGAGTTGATAATGAGTATAGGAAAGGAAATAGGAGAGGTGCGGACACAAGTGAACATGAAAATTGTGCTAGATCTAGATCTAGATCTAGAATTAGGTGTTCCCCATGCTCAGACCTATGATCCGGCGCTTACGGGTCCCAGTTCAGGCCCGACGCAACACATCAAAGATCACACAACGTAGATTTAGACCCCAAATGATAGGAATACAGCTGACATAGACCCACCTAGGTCTACACAACTACACAACAAACTTTAAAAAATAGTGACACCCCCCCCCCCCCCCCCCCCCAGTGGCCATGCCCTGTCCTGCAACCACACACCCTGATGTTGATGCTCAGGATGGGTGGACTGATGACTTGAATAATTTTCCAGTAGTAGGCATAGCAATGCCCACCGAGCGCGTTTTGTTCTGCCGATTTTTTGCCCCCGCCGCGGGGATGTTTCGTGGGACACACTAACGCAATGGTTGTCTTCAACTCGCTGTCACGCCGCTTCTCGTGAATGGATATTGTATGAATGAAACTTGGCAGCCAATCAGAAAAGAGGTCAATCTCGTAGTATGCAGTTTGACAACTTTGTACCCGTCCAAGAAGCAGTCGAAAACGTTTGCAAAAGTGGTTGGTGTGGTGCGCTTTGAAGGTTTTTCGGAGCTGTGATTTGTCAAACTGACTGATACGTTGTACACCATTTTTCTTTATTCCCTTAAAATTTCATGCTTCTGTGTTGAGCGGTTTTGGCGTAATCTTTAAAAATGTGGGAGTAACTAAACGAAAAGTGACTTTGCCATTTGTGCGTGCTGGGTGAACGACCGGCGGCTGGGAAATTTCCACTAAGTGACGTCATCAGCCATCGGTCGCCTCTGTGAACGAGGCCCCGCTTATGTGAACCCCAAAGGGGGGGGAAGGATACTTGAAAACTAAATGGGGGCCTTGATAACTTGCATTTGTGTTGCATTTTAGTCACAATACGATAGATGTCATTTTTATTTTTGCTTAATTGCATGAGAGAAGAATAGAAACAGAAAAGCAAACATCTAAGAAGTGGTATGACATATTATTGTGGTTGCGTTATGAAAGCCTATTCCCCTCTCTTGGGAAAGCACACACTTGGACTCATCCTGTTTGCTCTGTTTGGAAAAGTGAGGCATTAAGATTGTTTTTAAAGAGTATGGTACTTATAAATTTAGTCCAGTCTGGGAAGATAGTCCCGTTTATTCATTGTTATCGTTTACGCGTGCGTGCGTTAGTGCGCGTGCTTGTATGTGAGAGAGAGAGAGAAGGGGGGGGGGGGGGGGGGTAAATATCTGTTACACTTGTAGTATGAGTTGTAGCCTACACATGCGAAATATTCCCATGACTTGTAAACTATAATAATATTATCTATCTAAACACATCTTAACTCACTTGCGACTGGGCCCTTTCACCAGTCACAAGCGTTGAAGACTGGCGTTTTTGGGGGTATTTCAATAAATCACCACAACTCTCAGAATTACCCTATTGTAATTATTTTTGACACAATAAAGTAACATTCAAGCTTAATCTAATACAAAAAACTAAAGTTGTTTAAGTCTAATACTTTATTTTGTATGATTTTTTAAAAATTGGAATCAATTTGATTTTCCTAAAAATTTCCAGAGACGTGACAAGTAGAATGAAATTCACTACAACAACAAAAATAAAAGTTCAAAGTGTTTTGGTTTGATTTGTATACATGTGCGAGTGTTTGGTGAAAATATAAAAGCTGGTCTGTGCATTGATTCAGACCCATGCACTGAATTACATGAGACAGATGTACGGCACGACGTTGTGATTTCGTTGCGCGAAAAACAACACCGGTACTAGTGCTAGATCTAGCCCTAGAACTACGATTCGGGCCGTGTTCGGGTACATATCCAGGATCCTAACTATTAGACACATCATATTCTGAGACACTAGGACTAGTAAAACGTACAGAAGTATAGAAAACGGCGAAATTATGTGATTCTTGTCCATGCGACTTCTTCGACCGTAACTACGACGCTACTGTTGGATTACTATCAGCTGTATAGAAAAAAGCAAAGCGCGAGTTCCGGTCTGTTCAACCCCAGTTGGGGTCACTGTCCTTCACCTTCAATAACTTAAACACTACGGGTCCCAGAGATACGAAACGAAGTCCAAGTAGCTCAGGCTTGGCCAAACAAGGGTACGAGGCGGGTCTCGCGATCCGTGCGTGATTTGTAGAGCGAAAAAAAATTCCAAAGTTGGTCACGCAGGGCTTGTGAGACCCGTCGCGAGCGTCGCGGCGGGGGTCACGCAACTGTTGTGTGATCCATCTGAAGTGAGTTAATCTACCACACAAAATAGGACACTGTCCAACAATGGATTTATACAGAGACGGTCTTATTTTCTATTACAAAGTGTGCATGCTTTTAGTAGAGAACTGGATTTATTAGACTAATAAATCCAGCTCTCTACTTAAATTTTTGTGACAAATTGATCCAGTGCATTGCTTACTGAGGAGACGTTGCAAAGTTTCATTCAAAATCATGACTTTGGGAGAAGATATGACTGATAATCTTTGTAAATCTGTAAAGAACGCCACTTTTTTTTAACCTGTAAAGTAAATATGTCTTTACAACTCAAAAAGTAGGATAGATATTAAAAATCTGACAGCATGGCTAGATTCTGCATTAAAAACTGTACTAGACTGCCAACTTTCATTTTTACATACTCCAAGAAATAGGCGAGCTATGACAAATATTGTCTCAAAAGACACAGAAACCGCCACATTTTTACCAATATAACGTCTTCATAACTCAAAAAGTAGGATAGCTATGAGAAATCTGAAAGCAGGACTAGATTCTGCACTAGCAAATGTACTGGTTTGCCAAGTTTCATTTAAATACTCCGAGAAATGAGTGAGTTATGACGAGTTAGATCTAGATCTAAATTGTCAAATTATTTTTTTTCCCAAAAATCACTGCTTTTTTGTGAAATTGCAGAAAAAGTAGGCTACCACTCAAGACATGTGTAGGTTTATTCCAAATGCAATTCTGAATAATTCCATATATACGATACAAGTGGGGGGTTTTCTGTTAGTGAATGCATCTTGTCCATTTTCTGCGGGTTGGAGAATTCTAAACGAACATTTCGTTCGTCGGTACTTGGACGGTTAGAAATCCAAAAGTGAGTGGTCTATCCGTATAACTCTGGTTTAGGACTTATTAAAATATCAAAATTTCGGCAATTTTGATAGATCTAATATATATGCTTAAAAGTGTAAAATCATTTATTTCAGTCTTGTGCATTTAAAGGCAGTAAATCCCCATAAGTGCCATTGAATTCAGTTTTTTATCTCTTCTGAAAAATTTACGAAATCAGAGTTAGGCGGTTAGAATTCTCAGCCGACGATATAGCTTTTTCAAATAGATTCATCTTGATCTATTTGGAGGAGATTGTTTATGAATTATTATTCACGGCATGTGAAATTTAACTGTCTGCTCTGTATGATGCTTGTCCTCAGTAACATTGGGCCCTTGGCTGTTGTGGCAGCCCTAGTGATTTCAGTCATCCTTATTTTCATCCCGAGAGAAGACCAGTTCCCATCTGCAGAAGAGCAATCCGTGGTGAGTGGTTTGAAGTTTAACTCCTTATCTCCAACAAGCTGCTCCCACAGGCTTGCGGTTGAAACCGCTGTGCCAGTGAGCCACTGGCAGCGTCATAGTCTCATTCATTTATTATGATGACAACAACATTATATATATATATATATTGATTTTCATCAACTGTGAAAAAAAGGTCTCTCATACCGGTTGTTCTTTCATTATATGAAGAGCTATCAAAATCATTTTTATTGAATAAAAGACCGATTTAGCGACATGTAATGTATGTCACTTTCAGGTTTTGTACCAAAAGAGGGCTGCAGCCAAGGAGTTTAGAACTAATGGAGCCTCCTCTCTCTCTTCGCGGCGCCACGAGCAGTACACCGCGGTGGGGATCAAATATGGCGACCGAGTGTGGGCTAAATCACGAACTGTGGCGTTTCTTTTTATAGAATCTTATCGGGCTGGGCCACGTTGTGGGGGCGGGCGGGGTGGGGGAATGCACGCAAGGAAGAGGGGATGGGGCTGGGATGAAAGAGGAGGGGCGGGCCTTGGGAAGGGACGAAGGAGAATGGGAAAAATTAATTAAAAGAGAGAGAGAGAGAGAGTGAATGAGACAGACAGACAGACAGAGAGAGAGAGAGAGAGATTGTGATCAACTGACGGGCTGACGGATAATGACAGGGAGAAAAAAAAAATTATATGTGTGATACGGACTGTTCAATTCTTTAAGAGTTTTATGTTATAATCTAGTTTAAAAATAAAAAAGATGTGTAAAATAAGAAGAAAACTTGTCCGAGTAACATAAAATTATCAAACATACCAAATTATAAAGATAATCTTTCAAGATGCTAAAATATCTAATTATAAGAAATGGATAAAAAATATACTTTTAAACTGAATTTAAGATACCGGTATTATGATTGCATGATTCTAGGCGTGTGCCATAACTAACTTTATGTGTAAGGAATAGCGGACACAAAAGAGGGTCGATGTTTTCTTTATCTAATTGCTAACAGTATAAGCTATGGGCTACTGGGAGTGAACCTCCCCCCCCCTGGGGATTTTTCGCCACCATGATTTTCTGAAAGGGTAGGACCTAGAGACTTCCCAAAAAAAAGTTTGCACCAAAATGTTGGCAATCTACAGAGTTACGGCCCTTGATTGTCCAGAAATTAAGAAAATACTTGATTTTTATGTTGGGGTTCTCTGTGAAGCCAAAAATGTGTACTTTCATATGATGTAAAACTCAAATATTATAAGATGATGTAAGTGTTGTAAAAAAATGTTTTTGCTAATTAATTACAAGGTGCAAAGAGGAAAAAAGAAAATTCAAAGGCTGATTTCTCAAAATCTATAGAAATGATTAATTCCATTGCTTCAAATCTTCTATAACTTGATACAATATTTTCTGATAGGTACACACTTTGACTCAAAGTTTGAGGCACAAAATGAGAAGGATTGTGTGCAAAATAACTATGAGTTAAGGAGTTATGACCCTTGCTATTGCTATATTGAAAAAATACAAAACTTCCGCGCGTCATTTTAAAAACGTCAAAAAGGCGGCATGAGTACTTTTGTCTCAGATATAGTCTAGATCAATCATATGGGCATGATAAAGGTGTCTTGAAAAACATTTTGTTAGTTAAAACTAATTTAAAAGAAGACAGAGGTGAAAAATTTGAAGTCTGGTTTTTCTATCAATGTACAATTTTCTTTATACGAGTATGCTTCAGAGAAATAATGGAATGTTCAAAAGATAGAACTGAAATCAGTTCCCTTGACATTAAAGAAAGAGAGGTCAAAATCTCAAAATAAAGAACAGCTTGAAGAAAGGACATGTGTAGTGCATAACTGTAACTTCAAAGGCCATGATGAAATAAAATCCCACACTGAGAGACGCTGGGACACCATTCAAAAATCAAAAACACAATGGTGTCTTGCAGAAACTGAGTGATAGACTATCCTCAATTTGTGAAAAAATACCGACTGAGTTGACTGCTCAACATGGGTTTCATGATTACTGCTACAATACATTCATCAATTTGAGGAGTCTAAGAAAAAGGCATTCATTAGGAGAGTCTGACAAATCAGCACAAGAAGGTCTTGCTCCACTAGGAAAAAGGTAAAGCAATCGTTTTCAACACGCCTCTTGCCCATTTAATGCCTTTTCTGTGAAAAGACTACTGAATGGACACATGACAGCAAGGGAACCAAGAAAGTTCATAAACTTGTCAAATGTGTTACCAGAACATCTGGAGCCTCTGTAAAAGAAGCTGTAAACAGGAAAACTGAATCAAAACTTCGGGGCCAAATTGAAAATGCTGTTCTTATTGCCCAAGAGGCATAGTATCATGAACCATGTAGAAAAGCTCACACACGTAAGGAGGATCGACGTTCACAAGCTTCTACATCTAAATACTGTTCTGGAGAAGAAAAGGCAGCAGCTGAAGAAAGAAAGAAAGCTCAAGCTACAGAGGAAGAAGCCCTCTCCAAGGCTTTTCACCACGTCTGTCAGTTTGTGGAAGAACATGTCACTGCGCTGGCCCTTGTTGTTAGGACTAGTCTTTTGAAAGAGATGTATTGCACTTTCATGCAAACAAATTATCCAGAGTTTTACAAGTACTACAAGACATGTAAAACTCTGGATAATTTGTATTACAAGTACTACAAGACATATAAGTTGAGGAGAAACTCGTGAAGCACTTCAAGTCCAGGATCAACTTCTGGCAGAGATATTCTGGGACAAGTGATCTCATGTACTCTGATGAAATTTCAACTGGGCAGGCTGTCGGAGTTGCCTTTGAAAATGTGACCTCTGAAGAAAGACTTGTTATAGAAGTGGCAAAGGTGATACGACGACCTGTTCTTGATGGATGCAATGAAAGTCAAAAGTTACCTTGGCTTACTTTCAGCAGACACAGATCTGCGCACAGAATTTTTGCAGATTCCACAAGTATGTACAATATTTCTTTCCTTTCTTTACTCTAAGTATGGAAAAGCACAGTCAACAAGATGCCACAGGAGAGTTGTTTCTACAGGTCAGGACATATGCTACAATGTGACGAAAGGGGAGTGGAAAAAGCCTTAACATATTATGAT